GGTGCTGAGGCAGGTTACCAACATGGGTACAGATTCCAGGCCACATGCTAGCACAGGATCATCTCTTTGTGTCTTAGTTTCCTCTAAAATGTAAGTAGGGATAACAAAAAAAACCCTGCCTTATTAGGACAATGAGGAAGAGCGAACAAGATAGTACACACTGAGGTTAGCTCAATGCCAGGCACAACATATGGGTGTTGGCTATCAAGAAGAAAGAAACAAACAGCAGTCAATCCTTCCAGATTGGAAGAAAACACTTTAAAAAAAAAAAAACTGTCTTACTTGCTGAGAGTTTAGGGTTCTATACCATCCATTCACTACTGGAACTGTATTTTGGCAAATTGGCTTTGTTTTAGTTTCTGAAGCCTCAGTTTTCTGGTCAGCAAGATGGATAGCTCTTAATAACAGCTTCCCAGGGTTGTGCCGAATCAATAAGTAGTGCACGGAGATCATCTGGAACGCAACTGCTCTTGGAGCACTGCTGGTGTGCGTGGTAACACTTGCTGCCCGAGCCTACGTCAACAGGCTTCCCCCAGTTTCTCCCAGGGCAGAGTTCAGGACAGCTGGGACTCCCCACCGGCTACTCCCAGCTTTACACACTTGATTCACGAGGCATCTTGCGCAAGAGTAGACTCGAAGGAAGGCTCCAAATAGGCCATTCACAGACAGGGAAGAGAAGGGAACAAGGCTCTGTGCATCTCCTTGCATTGGACACTCTGAAAGCTGCTTTGGCAGTTAGCTGATTTAATTACCTCTGCACCAGGGACTCTGGGTTTTTATGGGGTCTTCTGAATTATAGATGGAGAGGTGGAGGTCCACAGAGTACCAGGAACTTGTTGGAGGTCTTACTATTCCCATGCAGAGCCTACAGCTAAATTTCAAACTCATAGCAACCTGCACTGACAAGTAGGTAGTGGAGATAAGGAGGCTCTGGTTAAGCCTCTTCAGCCCAGACCTTCTAATTTTTGTCACGCAGTTTGGTTTTCTCCTCTTAGTTTCCATTCATGTCTCTCTGTTAAATTCTAAATCTCTCTGAGTTGATTCTGGAAAGGGAGTGAGAGGTAACAACCACTCCAACATAGCCAGAATGTCCAAAAGCACCTGATAAACCAGTACTGTCTAAGACACTGCTGGCCAATGATTTTTTTTTTTTTTTTTTTTTGTTTTTTTTTTTTTTTTTGAGTCAGGCAGAGCTAGTGCAACTGGGAAGGCAGAAAGAGAAGTATGGAAAGCAAAGTTTGTAAGGAATGACTGAGTTTCTAGTTCGTTTCTGGCCAGACCTTTGCCTTCTCAGACTCAGGATGATTTTCAGCCAGATAGAAAATGAGAAACTATAAAGCTCAATATTTATTATACTTATAGGGAAACAGAAGCCCCGATGCAAAAATAACTTGTACAAATTCACCCAGGAAGTTACTGCAAGAGCAGAGACTGTCGTGTGCAGTGTTCTTTCTGTCTGTTCTTGCATTCATTTGTCCATCCATCGCTGGGTTCTCTGAATGCTACTCCATGGTAAAAATGAACTTCCACACCTCTGCTTAGTCTGTGCTGGCTTACAAGGGAAGAAGCAATTCGGTACATGAAGTATACAGACAGGATGGGGTATACCATGGGAGTGATGGTGCCAACTTTAGCTGGGTCAGTAAAGGAGGAGCTGATTGTTGAGATAAGATCCAAAGAATGAGAAAGAGCTCATTTAACAAGTATAGTCAAGGCAGAGGAAACTTCATGGCTAAATATTTAAAGGTAAGAAAATATGTGGAGCTTTTGAGGGACCTACAAATAAATAAGCCACAGAAGGAGAAAAGGAACCCTGTGAGGGCTGAAATTGTGCAGAGATCAGATGGTGCAAGGCCTCATATCTGTAATCGAGACTTTGAATTTTATTCTGAGTGAAAGAATTTGTGCAATATCTACCTGTGAGAGATGCCAATGTCAAGTTAGCCCTAATGAGTCTTGGAGCTCTATGGGAAAGTATTGAGCTCTTACTTACTTAGATAGTAACTAAGAAACCACTAGAGGTACCTGCATCATCCTAATAGTAGAATGTGAGCAAGGGCAAGAGAAGAAGGTGGGTAATGGATCAGGTGAGGTGAGGACAAAGAGGTATCTAACTCTGAGAGGTGGTGAGAGGGGACAAGAGGCAGGGAAGATGGTGAAATATGATTCAGTGAGAAATTTGATTCAGCACATATGTATTTAGCATAGAACCTGTCCTATATGTTGGTCCATGTGCTGGGCATCTGCAAGTTTCTTCTTGTTAGATCTTGTTAACCACATGAAAGATGATATTTTTTAAAAATTTATCTCTTATAGATGTAGAAGCTAAGGGTCATCATAGTGAAGGAATTTCCCCAAAGCTGTTCAAGTGGGTTCCAGCCACTGCCTTTGGGCTTCCAGGGTGCTTCTCTGCACAGTTATTGAACTTGGCTCTGTCCTCAGTTTCTCCACTTGGAAGTGGAAGGCTTTCTCTTTTTGTCTCTTCTAACTCTAGTAGTCTGTGCTTCTCTTGAAAGTGGAAAGATTATGAAGAAATAATTCTAGATGATACAAAATAAACACTCCAGATGAGTGGTGGCAAGCCTGTGGCACACATGTCTCAGCTAGCTGCTTGTTATCATTGAATGCTCTGAAATGCCTTCCATCACTACTCTCGATTCAAAGTGGAATAGTCTAGATTTATTTCAGAAAGCTTCAGAGCATGGAGATTAAATGTTCTGAGCAGGAAACAAAGAGCAAGGACTTGTGAGCAGAAAGAGGAGTACTACGTGGAAAAAGGTGAATCAGAATCAGATAAGCACAGTATCAAGCACCTATTAATTTAAATTGTAAAAAGAAATACAGATGTCAGAAAGAGGAGAGAGAGAGAGAGAGAGAGAGAGAGAGAGAGAGAGAGAGAGA